GTATGAGAATATATCAAAAATGCATGTAGGTACTCAAATGAAAGCTCTTGATGAATGTAACATCAAGATGAGCTTATATCTTCAAAAATGTCAATAGTGAAGAAATGACCTTGTATCTTGTGCACGATTGACATTTTTAAAGATATAAGCTCATCCCGATGTTACGCTCATCAAGACCTTTCATTTGAGTACCCACATCAATTTTTCATATATTTATATATATATATGACATATATGTATATATGAAAAATATATCAAAAATGCATGTGAGTACTCAAATGAAAGCTCTTGATGAGTGTAACCTCAAGATGATCTTATATCTTTAAAAACGTCAATATTTAAGAAAGTACAGTGCAATTTAACAGAAGTACTATTTAATAAAGCAAAATTTCATTTATTTATAGTTCAATATTATTACAATAAAATAATTTTTTATTTAACAGAACCAAATTCTTTTCGACACGTATTCAATGTATCAATATCGGCAAAGCAATTAGCCGCTGATTATATCCGTCTTCGAAAGCTATTGAACCACCTTGGCTACGAAATGAGTTTTCTCGTTGGACCAGAAGTCAATCACATAGGGGACGATAATAGAGCAGGTGAAAAATATGCGACTGAATTTCTTAATAATTCCAAAAGCACCGTAGACTTTCTCACGTGGCATCAGTACTACCTCAATGGCCGCGAAGCCAAAGTAATGGATTTTGTGGATCCAAATGTCTTCAATCGACTGCCTATGCAAGTTGACCGTGTTCAAAATGTTATTAACCAGTCAAATAAAAAAATTAGAATGTGGATGTGTATGTATAAATTTTCTACTACTATTATTAAAAAATTTTTAATAATAATTTTTTTCTATATATAACTAAAATAATCATTTTTTTTTTAATGAAGCAGAAACAAGCACAGCCTGGGGTGGAGGAGCTCCAGAATTATCCAACAGATTTGTAGCCGGGTTCCTGTGGCTCGACAAACTGGGCTACGGTGCAGCTGCTGGCGTGGATGTAGTAGTAAGACAATCTTTATTCGGTGGTAACTACGCCATGGTTGGAGAGGACCTCAAGCCTAATCCTGACTGGTGGGTCAGTGTAATGTACAAGCAGTTTGTCTCCCAGCGAGTACTGAAGCTCAAGACACCCTCTGCTTCTGGTACTGTACGATTGTACGCACACTGTACTCTTGAAAGCGCTCTTATTTCTCGTGTTCCTGCTGTTACTGTCTACGGGGTCAACTTGAACAATGATTACGTTAGACTGTCGTTACTTTTGAGCAACAACTCTCGGAAGTCGAAATTGTTCTTGTATATTCTCACCGCAGACTCTCTTCAGTCCAGGTTATATTATTAAATAATTACAATAATTATAAATAATCAAATTTTTTTTACAAACTAAATTTTTATTTTTACAGAGACATAAGATTAAACGGCGAAATATTAACTCTAAATCCTGATGGAAGTTTGCCAGCTTTTAAGCCAGTAATTATGGACTCCCAAGTAATAACTCTACCTCCGTACTCGATGGCATTTATACTGATGCACGGAGTAGAACATCGGGCTTGCATATAAACTGAGTCTTTTTTAAAAAGACTGACAATTTGAATTATTGTGCTTATAATTTATAAGTTACCACAATGTGTACTGAATATTTTTATATTTATATTTATTATTTTATTATTATCATACACATTTTAAAAGTTGATATTTTAATTATTTATTTTAATAATAATAATAATAATAATAATAATAATAATAATAATAATCAAGACTGGATAGTCAAAAATAACTCGCCAACAAAATTAAATAACGGAATGAAATGATATATTAATAATTACGTATTAACATCTTTTAATTAATATTTATGTATATATTATACAAATAAAATTAAAATTATATTATAAATACTGAACAATTGTCACAGAAGAGAAGAAAGAAAAATTTCAAACAAATTGTTCTATTGAAAAAAAATATTTGCTGACATCTTCGCTCTTAAAATCTAGAGAATCAACGAGCTTTAAATATACAAGACTTACAGACATATTTACATGATAATATGCAATACGAGTATGTAATTATAATTATTTATTATTTATTTTATTCTTGGGCAGATATTGTAATTGTTTTTCCCTTAGAATCATCGAATCTGTCCATTGTGCGGATGTCCATCATCATGACAAGACCCCAGATCATAATAAGAGCCAGGATGGAAGTGACGAAGATCCCAGACCAGATGGATATCGACGTAAAGCCGACGCAGTCGTAAGTGTCACCGAATTTTTTAGCGAATAATTGAACTTGCAAGTTGTACAAGTTCAACTTAATTTCTTCGGTGTCGTTGACTTTGGGCATGGAGAATTGAACAACTTGCGCGCAATGGTAAGAAAAATTTTTGGGCCATACGATATTTTCTCGGGTGTTGAGTATGTACTCTTTGCCGTCCCGGGTGATATTTACTCGGTGCAGGGTGTAGTACCCGGAGGTTCTACTTACTATTTCGAAGGCAAGGCTGGCTTTGTAGGACGTAGTGTCGTTCCCGGTGACGTCGAAGTCCATTTTTACGACCAGTGGAGAGTCAGCTGTGCCCTTGCCTTCGTCTTCGGCTTTTGTTGGCTGGCCAACGCTCAGGAAGTTTGAACCTTTCATCTAGAATTTATTAATTTTTTTAGTTAGATTGATTATTTAAAAATTGTTGAGTAAAAAAATTAAAAAAAAAACATAGATTGAGAAACATCTGATGATTTTTAGAAAGTTTATAAATAATTATGACAAAAAATTAGTTTTTAAAATTATGACACAGAAGGTGACAGACAGAAATTTTTAAAGAATTTTATAGCTATAAAATTGTGATAAAAAAATTCCATAGGTGAAAATTGAACACAATTTTTTAAAGCATTTTTATTTATTAAAATTGATTTGTTTTAACTAGCAACCTGGCAGTCACTACGTGACTGCAGTGATTTGTGAACTATAAATAAATAAAATTTTACTTTATTGAATAATGACTTTTAAATTGCACTGTACTTTTTTAAATATTGACATTTTTAAAGATATAAGCTCATTCCGATGTTACACTCATTAAGACCTTTCATTTGAGTACCCACATCAATTTTTCATATATTTATATATATTATATATATGTATATATGAAAAATATATCAAAAATGCATGTGGATACTCAAATGAAAGGTCTTGATGAGTGTAACATCGAGATGAGCTTATATCTTAAAAAATGTCAATAGTTCACAAGATACCAGGTCATTTATTAATTATTGATATTTTTAAAGATATAAGCTCATCTTGATGTTACACTCATCGAGATCTTTTATTTAAGTACCCACATGGCAATTTTCATATATTTTATATATATATAGTATTTGTGAAATACATAAATATATAAAATATATGAAAAATTGATGTGGGTACTCAAATAAAAGGTCTTGATGAGTGTATTAACGGGATGAACTTATATCTTTAAAAATGTCAATAATTCACAAGATACAAGGTCATTTCTTAAATATTTACATTTTTAAAGATATAAGCTCACCTCGATGTTATACTCATTAAAAGGTTTCATTTGAGTACCCACATGAAAATTTTTATATATTTCATATATATTGTATATATGAAGTATATAAATATATAAAATATATAAAAAATTGATGTGGGTACTCAAATGAAAGGTCTTGATGAGTGTAACATCGGGATGAGCTTATATCTTTAAAAATGTCAATAGTTCTCAAGATACAAGGTCATTTCTTAATTATGAATCTAGAGATAGATCATTTTCGAATGCAACCTAAGTACTTATAATAAATTGACTATCGCTAGAAAATTTTATTTAAAAAATTCTATCTTTGTAATTTCTTAAATAACACTTTATAGTTTATCTCTCAAGGAAAATAAAAAAATATTAAATATCTAAAAGTAAAAGAAAAATTTTAATAAAAAATTACCTGAAGAGTTGGTGGATTTTCAAGATAAAACAACACTCGTTCTGACTGATGAAATATCGGATCGCTTCCATTTTGAGCCAGAGGCTCAGCAGAAGCAGCTCTTTTGATCCTATCAGACCTTTGGCAAGATTTACCAGTAAGTATTCCCACTAAATAAGGACTGGACTCCTTGAGCATCCTGAAAGTTTCAGCAACGTACTCAAGGTCATTGGCTCTGTTGATAGCAAGCTGGCCATTGGACACAGAGTTAAGATCCTCATCTACAGTTTGATTGTAAAACTGAAGAGCCTCGAGGACAGCCAGCGGACTCTCGACTTCTGGAACATATTCCAGCGAGCCGAATTTTTCAAGCTGCTTCCATTGGTCCTAAAAATAATTTTGTTAATAAACATTGACAGTTTATATCAGTAAATAAAGGCTGGGCACTTACCGTGTCGTGCAACGTAACATCCTCACGACAGAAACTATCCCGGTAGAAAACAATTATTGGCAGCTGAGAATCTCCAACTTTTTTGGTCACTAGGTCCTTAAAGTCTTTTTGTGACGTCTTGTCAAATAAATTGAAGGACTTGGTGATTGATTTTGTGGAGCTGCCGCCTCCCCAAATTAAAACTGGGACATCGATGATACTTGACGTAACAGTGGAGACAGTAAAACCAAGCACCAACAATTTAATCACACCTAGCTGTAAATTCAGCATCGTTTATTTATTTACTCTTACTTGTTTCTATTTTAGTTTGGGTTAGTGCAAGCACTGGCTGCTCTTCTCAAGTTGGATCGAGTACAGAATTTTAAGATGACCAATCGAGCAGTTTATTCACAACTTACTATTTTCCATGGGCGCTCACGCGCCTGACCAGCCCGCAGAAGTCATATGATGTGCCACGTGACCACTCTACTAGTTTCCGTGTTTTAAATTTTATTTAGTGACAACTTCACTTCACTTCAGTTTTGTTTTTTATTTTATTTTTTTTTTTTTAGATTAATTTTTTTTATGACACTTAAGTTAACAGACGTTAAAAACTTTTTTATAATTTTAGAGTAATTAAATTATTATTAAAAAAATTTAATTAAATAATTTCACTTATGAAAATTAAAATGACATTAAAGTTAGCTGTCACTTGACCATTTTTTTTTTTTTTTAAAAACAAACAAATTTGTTCGAAAAAATTATTTTTTAAAAATTAAGATGAAAAAGTTGGCCGACATTTCAAAATTTTTAGAAATATTTTTTATCAAATAAATTTCAATTAAACAATTAAAAAAAAAAATTATCACATGTAAAAAACTTGAAAAACTACTAGTGCAATTTTTTAGAAATATTTTTTTAGTTGAAAAAAAATTATCACATGTAAAAAAACTTGAAAAACTACTAGTGCAATTTTTAGAAATATTTTTTTAGTTGTAATTTAATTAATAAAAAAAATCAAAAATTTTTAGACATCTGCTAACTTCAGTGTCATTAAAAATTACATTTTTTAGTTTTTAAAATTTCTACTTGTCAATTTTTTTTTCTAATAATTTTTTTTGCTATTAGGTATTTTTTTTCCCAAAAATTCTTTAAATTATTGAGTATCTGCTAAATTGATTTGTTATAAAAATTAAAAAAATTGACAGTTCTCAGTTAACTTCAGTGTTACTATTTTTTTTTTTTTATGAAGATTTACAAAATTTTTGGAAATTTATTGAATTTGTAAATATGGAGCAAACAGTTATGTATTCGGTGAGTAAAAATTAAATAATTTTCTATCTTATTAACAAATAAATTATAATTTTATTTTTTATAATTAATTATATGATTTCTTGTTTAATTTTTTTTATAAAAAAAATTTCAGATATTTTTTAGATATTTAGATATTTAATAAATATTTTTAAAAAAATATTATTTAATGTTAATTTATTTTTAAGCATCTTCAACCATGGAGAACAATCAAAAGTTTTGGAGAAAAAAATTCTCAAGTTCCAAAAATTGGAGAAATTTATAAAACTCCTAAATCTCATCCATGGAGACCGACATTAGGATATGAAAATGTTCAAGTTATGTCATTGTATGTACAATTTTTATTAATTAAATATTTAAACTTTTTATTTTTGTATTTAAAATTAATTTTTTATCAATGACATATTTTTTCAGACCATCACAGTCAATTACAAATCAATTAGTAGACCCTTGTTACACACCAATTAATATGTCAACCGAACCATTAAAATTTCCAAACCTTGTCACTGGTTTTGAAAGAAATCCATCTCACGCTGCAAGAGCTGCTCTATACACTAGATACACTCCCGATGAATGGAACCAAAAAGAAGTCCGTCTTGCCAATGAAGTTATTGCGAACTGTCATTATGCTGATAAACTTAAGAATACTACTTTACAATTAATAAAGTAAAAAATTTTTTTAATAAATTATAATCAAATTATTAATTATAATTATTATAATTTAAATTGTAGAGAAGCTGAAGAAAGAGTTGACGAAGGCCAAAGAGATTCTTCTCGGATGTTAGGCCAAAGAGTGAAAGAAATCGAGTTTTGGGAACGAGAATTAGCCAATGAACTGGACAGAATAATTATAGGAAATAATAAAATGCAAGAATGTATGAGAACTCTCCAAAGGGCTATTCAGGATGTTGAAATTCCTTTGAGTATTACTCAAGAATGCTTATATCATCGCGAGTCTAGACGAGGTTTTATTTATTAAAATTATTTCTTCTTTTTTATAAAAATTTTTTAGAATTAAATTTTTTCATTTAACAATAATTTTATTTTATTGTTTATTAATTATGTAATTGTTTATTAATAATTAGGCACTGAGCTAATTCATGATGAGCCTGAAAATGCATTGTTGAATGAAGTAGAAACAATTAGAAATTGTCGTAAAAAATTGGAAGTTTTTACAGACAAATGCAAAGAACAAGTAACCTGAAGAACAATATTTCACAATGATTTCTTAAATAATATAATAAATTGTGTATTTAATTATTACAGTTAGCAAACGGCCGAGCGATACAAAATGAAATTGAGAAGGATATTGACAACAAAAAATTAGCACTGGGTATCGATTCAATGTGTCATCAATTAAATAATTACAGCAGAGGGCTGCAATATTACGGTGGTATTGAAGACCACGATCCAGCGTGAGTTAAAATTATTCATTGTAATTTTCTTAACTATTGACATTTTTAAAGATATAAGCTCATCCCGATGTTACACTCATCAAGAGCTTTCGTTTGAGTACCCACATGCATTTTTGATATATTTTTCATATATACATATATGTAATATACATAAATATATAAAATATATGAAAAATTGATGTGGGTACTCAAACGAAAGGTCTTGATGAGTGTAACATAGGAATGAGCTTATATCTTTAAAAATGCCAATAGTTCACGAGATACAAGGTCATTTCTCAATAATGTATCTCAAGTTTTTGTAATGACACTAAATTTCATTAAAAAAACCGATTTTATCATATGACTTTCCTGGATACAAAATGTTTCTTATTCTCTGAATAAAATAGATTATTTTAAGTATTAAAAAAATTTTTTATTTCAGAAATATTGATGGCAAGTCTTGGTCAGAAGCGTCAGACGCTTTTATAAAAAAATCCCAACTTATTCGCGCTCAATCTGGCCAACTAATAAACGAAATTGACAATGTGATAAATGAAGTTGCTCAAGAGTCTTGGAAAGCTTGGGATTATACGAATAATGCATTGGCAAGACGGATTCATGAAATTTTAGAAGCTAAAAGCAAACTTTTAGTTCATTTAAACAATGTAAATAATTTTTACATTATTAATCTTAAATATTAAAATGATTTATTTTGTATTTTATTTATAGGTTCAAAATGAAATTTTTCTGGTAGAAAAAAATATTGAGCAGATAAAAAAAGCCGTGGAAGACAAAGCGATGACTATGAAAGTAGCGCACACGCGGTTGGAAGCAAGAATTCATCGACCTTATGCAGAATTATGCAGAGATGCAGCACAGCTGAGGATTGTCGAGGAAATAGAGACAATTAGGTCAATGATTGACAGCTTGCATAAAAGATTGCTGGAGTGCGAAGCTCAGCAGAACCAGCTGTTGAGATCTAGGTCCGAGCTAGAAAATGATCTAAAGGCTAAAATGGACGCGCTGTTTATTGACCGCGAAAAATGCATGAGTTTACGAAGAAGCTATCCAATTGTTAGCACAATAAACTATTAAGTAAGTGTTATTTTTATTTTATTTTATTTTATTTAATAAGTAAATTCGTTTTTTTTTTTATTTAAACTTAATACAGTAATTTAAACTCCTTAAAATTATTAAATTTTTAAACTGATACAATAATAATGGCGCGAATATAATGAAAAAATAATTTCTCTTGGTAAATTTAATAGAAATTTACATCGTAAAAAACTAGTAATAAATAAATTATCCGTAATGATAATTCGTTTTATCGCTCCAAGTTTTTCAATTAGGAAGACACTGATCAGTTAATTAACTCCTAATTAAATATTTACATTTACATCGTATTAAAGTTACTTATTATTATTATTATTATTATTATTATCTTTATAAAGTCTTTTATGTTATTTTTAAGTCCTGAGTTGTTGTTGGTTAATTTTTTTTCGTCCACTTGTAAACTTCAACAGACTCGTAAATCTGGTTAGCTGCCTCGTCGTTGTCATATCCCTCTCGCAAGTAATAGATTCTTGCATTTTCTTCAGGATGACATTCAAGAACTTGCCACTTTTCAAAGAGTTTTAGAGAATTTTTTATTGGCTCCACACTCAAGCTTTCACCTGAAAAAAAAAAATTATTAATTTTTTAAGCGTTAGAAAAAAATTTTTTTAATAAATTTTTAAAATTTTTAAAATAAATTTCATTAATCTATATTATTGAAAACTTGAGAACTATTGAAGTTATTAAAAATATAAGCTCATTCTGATGTTACACTCATCGAGACCTTTCATTTGAATACCCACATCAATTTTTCATATATTTTATATATTTATATATATTACATATATGTATGTACGAAAAATATATCAAAAATGCATGTGGGCACTCAAATGAAAGCTCTTAATGAGTGTAACCTTAAGATGAGCTTATATCTTTAAAAACATCAATAGTTAAGAAATGACATTGTATCTTGTCAACTAATGATATTATCAAATATATAAGCTCATCCTGACATTACACTCATCAAGACCTTTCATTTGAGTACCCACATCAATTTTTCATATATTTATATATATTGTATATATGTATATATTGTATATATGAAAAATATATCAAAAATGCATGTGGGTACTCAAATGAAAGCTCTTGATGAGTGTAACCTCAAGATGAGCTTATATCTTTAAAAACGTCAATATTTAAAAATTGACCTTGTATCTTGTGAATTATTGACATTTTTAAAGATATAAGCTCATCCTGACATTACACTCATCAAGACCTTTCATTTGAGTACCCTCATCAATTTTTCATATATTTATATATATGATATATATGTATATATGAAAAATATATCAAAAATGCATGTGGGTACTCAAATGAAAGCTCTTGATGAGTGTAACGTCATAATGAGCTTATATCTTTAAAAACATCAATATTTAAGAAAGTACAGTGCAATTTAACAAAAATCATTATTTAATAATCCAAAATTTCATTTGTTTATAGTTCACAAGTCACATAGTGACTGTAAGATTGCTAGTTAATTGAATATTAAAAATAAATTTTTTATTCTAAAATTCATAATTAAATCTATCAATTAAAAAAAAAAAACTCACCATAATTAATAACGCCTCTATCAATATTAATTTTAATTTCACTAAGAATTTCCTGCACAAGATCCCTCTCAACCAGCGACCTGCCCACAAGTTTCCTCAAAGCAAAGGCACTGAACGTATAGGTATCAATAATCGGCCTCAAAATAGTATGAAGAAACTCCATCCTCCCCGAAGAATCATTCTCCAAGTTCAACTTATACTGAATCTTCTTCCCCGCATTTTGCACCGCGTACTCTTCATCCGAACTGTCATCAAAATTCTTCGCGTACCTCCTACTCCACAATTCTTCCTCCAGATACGCTTCTTCACACAGCATCAAAATCCCGGCGTAAGACAAATTTTGTATCGTCGAGATAATAGAGTACTCTAGATTCTCACAAGGCTTCGCAAAGATAAACTCTTGCCTCAGAATATCACAAAGTTTCATTGCATTTTCCACCAGGACATGTTGGTAAACATAAATTTTATCCTCCGCAATCACCCTAGGATCATTAATTTGCTCCCTCAATGTCGCGTATAAAGCAGAGATTACAATACTGTCCATAACATAGTGAACTACCATCGAATTACTGTAATACGCTAATTCAATCACGTTGGGAAGAATTGAAACCGGCTCAATTGAAATTACAACTTCTTTTTTTATCACCGATTGTCCCTCTAATTTTTGAATTATTTCCTGACGTTCCTGCTTGACCAATCCTGGACCTAAAATTCCTAGAGCGTAATTAATAACATCAATAGTCTCTCCGCAAAAAGCAATGTCTTTATTTAACCATTCCAACTCTTGTTTCATATTTTCAAAAGCTTCAACAAGTTTATCTAACGTGCAACCTTCTCTGAATTTATTAAGCAGCAAAAAAGCTACAACATTTGTTGACATTATTGGCATAGATCTAGCGCAATCATAAACTACATGTCTAGCTAAACAGTCTACTAGCAAACGATGTTCATCATCAACAACATCTGTTCCGTAAAGTGACGAGGTAGACATTGTAGCTTTCAAAGATTTTTTTTCTTTGTCTGTTGGATTTAAAAATAACCTGGATTGTTGATTATCAATTGACTTGATCATCTCTCTAAGAGAAAATGGCTCGCAAATATCCATCTTAACAATCCCATAACTTCCTCTGAGTGTGGACCAAATAGCTTTTATAGCAGAGCCAAAAGTTTCTGGTTTTTTAGGCTGGCCTAGCTGCTCTCTAACAAAATTCCCGTCTACAAGTCGGTCGTAATTAACAGACAGTGGGACTATAAGCGCGTCTTCAATAGTCCCGTCCTTGTACGCGTCGATAATTATACTGAGGATTCCACCTTTAGGCATACAAGGTTTTCCAGTTCTTGTTCTGCCGCCTTCGATGAAAAATTCAATATTGTGACCAGCTCGAAGACTTTCCATTACATATGTATGAAGTGTCGCGCGGTACAGCATGTCTTTGCGACCTTGGACTGGATCTATACGACGCTTTATATAGAAGGCGCCCAGGCCGTTTAAAAGCTTGCCGAAGATTGGTATTCTCAGATTGTCTCCTGCGGCGATTAAGGAATTTCGAACGTTGTTGCAGAGCAGGACAAAGCTTATTATGATGTAGTCCAGGTGGCTGCGGTGGAGAGGTAGGAAGATTAGTGGTACGCCGCGGTTGTTCGCTTTTTGGACCATTTCTATTTGCGAGTCTTGGACTATTACTGATTTTATGAAGAGTGGAAGGAGTTTGAAGAGGATCCACCCGGTCAGGCGGAGTAAGTTGTGGCTCATGGTGCTCTCCATTCGGGATAGTATTGCGCGAGCGCGGGACTCGGCTTGGGAGAAGGCTTCTTCTTCGGGGATTTGGTCATCCTTGGAGGTTTCCAGGGCTGTTTGCTTTATGGCGTCTTTTAGTCTTTCGTCGTTTAGAACCTGAAATTGATTATTTTTAGTAAACATTTTTGATATCAAATTTAGGGTCATTGCAAAGGTGTTATTTTGTTCTTATTGATAGTAAATTTATTATGTATTCAGGCTGCATTCGAATATCTCTCTAGGTTGATAATTGAGAAATGAGCTTGTATTTTGGGAAATATTGAGATATAAGCTCATCATGATGATACACTCATCGAGAGCTTTCATTTGAGTACTCACATCAATTTTTCATATATTTTATATATTTATATATATTATATATATGTATATATGAGAAATATATAAAAATTGCCATGTGGGTACTTAAATGAAAGGTCTCAATGAGTATAACATCAGGATAAGTTTATATCATTAAAAAGGTCAATAGTTAAGAAAGTACAGTGCAATTTAACAAATATCTTGTGAAATATTGAGATTTTTAAAGATATAAGCTCATCTTGATGTTACACTCATCGAGACCTTTCATTTGAGTACTTACATCAATTTTTTATATATTTTATATATTCTTATATATTGTATATATGTAGATATGAAAAATATATAAAAAATTTATGTGGATACTCAAATGAAAGCTCTTGATTAGTGTAATATCGGGATGAGCTTATATCTTAAAAAATATCATTAGATAACAAGATTCAATGTCATTTCTTAACTAGTGACAATTTTAAAGATATAAGCTCATCCCGATGTTATACTCATCGAGACCTTTCATTTGAGTACCTACATCAATTTTTCATATATTTTATATATTCTTATATATTGTATATATGTATATATGAAAAATATATCAAAAATGCATGTGGATACTCAAATTAAAGCTCTTGACGAGTGTAACATCGGGATGAGCTTATATCTTTAAAAATGTCAATAATTAAGAAATTACGTTCTATCTTGTGCACGATTGATATTTTTAAAGATATAAGCTCATCACAACATTACACTCATCGAGACCTTTCATTTGAGTACCCACATGCATTTTTTATATATTTTATATATTCTTATATATTCTATATATGTATGTATGAAAAATATATCAAAAATGCATGTGGGTATTCAAATGAAAGCTCTTGATGAGTGTAACATCGGGATGAGCTTATATTTTTAAAAACGTCAATATTTAAGAAAGTACAGTGAAATTTAACAAAATTCATTATTTAATAAGGGAAAATTTTATTTATTTATAGTTCACAAGTCACAGCAGTCACATAGTGACTGCATGCTTGCTAGTTAATATTAATTTAAAAATTAATTATAAAATTGTTTGGAAAAATTTATAGATTCTTATAATAAATTTTTCAAGTGTAGATAATTGTATCAAAACCGTAAAAGTAAATAAAAGATTAGCAACGAATATTAAATTAGATCAATTGTCATAAAAAGATTTTAATTATAAATAAAAAAATTTATTTCGGACTAAGATAAGAAAATTAATATTGTGGTATTAATTTAATAATCTTTAAAAAAGAAAAGTGTATTTTTAAATTTTAATAAATTATTATTTGTTATCACCAACTATAAATGCAGGAAGCATTAAATTATAAATTACTTGAAAGATTATCAATAAGGTCAATAGTTCATGACTTTTAATGTTTCCAACAATTAAAAAAAGAAAAAAAACTTACTGCTTGCGTTACTCGAGGATAATCATACTTTTTGAGGTTGCTTATAAATGAAAAATGATAAAAAATTTTCGAAAATATATTTCCACACGGTTCAATGAGTAATAAATTCCTTCCCAATAATTGATTTTGTTTTGTAGCCTCGATGGAAAATGTTCCCTGTAAAAAATAACAATAATTATTAATTATAATACTTAAAATTTTTTTAAATAAAAATTATTGATGCTTCAAATAATAAAGTGAGGAATTTGTGAAAGTTTCTGACCGTAATCGTGACACGGTTTGAAAATAGTAATTACAGTAATTTGTATTGTTTTTTTTTTTTTTAGCTCACTATTTAGTCAATGGCTAGTTTTTGAAACTTACTTTCTCTAAATTTCCGCGAATTATTATTATTTTTATCCATCGTTTAAAAAAATTTTCTTGCTCATTGTGCATCGCACTGATTTAATTTACAAAATTGTTACAATAATTTTTTTAATAAAAATTTTCATTATTTTAATTAAAATTTATCATTGCAAATAATCAGCTCTTATAAATAAAAAGGATATAAATAAAATACAACAATTGTGTAATCATCAGCGTTGCATTGGAAAAAAAAAAAAAAAAAAAAAAAAAAATTACTAACGTTGACACTTGACTATTGTTTTCATTTTTTGAGTTTGTTTATTAATTTATCCGTGAACTCTGAGTATTATTTTTAATTAACTTTAAAAAATAAATTAACTTATCGTGATACTGCTATTTATTTTATTTTATAATATTTGACTTATTGGTATGTACGCAGCGTGTAATTACGCAACAAGTGTAAGTGTGCTGTCAAGAAGAAACTGAATTAATGTAGACACTTGAAGACACGCTTAAAATTATATATATATATATTTTTAGCAACGCGCCAAGTTAGTTTGACGGAACAAAAAATTATAAATTAATTTTATGCTTACTCGAGATGTGGGTGTACATGTTTGACAACATTGATAAATAAATGAAGATATTTTTGGTACTGGAGGAACAAAAAGTTCCGCTTCCTTTATTTTGAACAGCGCATTTTCTCGGAGCTTTCTTATTTGTTCTCTGCTTTGAATTCTTCTTCGCTGACTTTGCTGGCCTGCGCGTCTTAAGCCTGAAAAAATTTTATTGTTAATATTTCTTTGAATAATAATTACTAGCAACTTTGCTTGTACTTTCTTAAATATTGACGTTTTTGAAGATATAAGCTCATCTTGATGTTATACTTATCGAGAGCTTTCATTAGAGTACCCACATGCATTTTTGATATATTTTTCATACATACATATATGTAATATATATAAATGTATAAAATATATAAAAAAATTAATGTGGGTACTCAAATAAAAGGTCTTGATTAGTGTAACATCGGGATGAGCTTATATCTTTAAAAATGTCAATATTTTACAAAATACAATGTCATTTCTTTAATAATGACCTTTTTGAAGATATAAGCTCATCTTGATGTGACATTTATCAAAACCTTTCATTTGAGTACCCACATAAATTTTTCATATATTTTATATATTTATATATATTACATATATGTATATATAAAAAATATATTAAAAATGCATGTGGGTATTCAAATGAAAGGTCTTTATGAGTGTAACATCAGGATGTGCTTATATCTTTAAAAATTTCATTAGTTCAGAAGATACAATGTCATTTCTATAATATTGACTTTTTTAAAGATATAAGCTCATCTCGATGTTACACTCATCAAGACCTTTCATTTGAGTACCCACATGCATTTTTGATATATTTTTCATATATAAATATATGTAATATACATAAATATATAAAATATATGAAAAATTGATGTAGGTACTCAAATGAAAGGTCTTGATGAGGGTAACATCAAGATGAACTTATATCTTTAAAAATGTCAATATTTCACAAGATACAAGGTCATTTTTTAATTATGTATCTAGAAATTTTGCTTATTCTCTTAATAATATAGATAATTAATTTTTTTTATATAAATAAGATTAATTATTATAACTAATAATTAATAATTGTGTCAAAAAACACATTTTGCAATAATTAATTAATTTTAACTAGCCATCATTAAATAAGAAATTTTTTTTTATATAATCTATAATTTATAATTCAAAAGAGTAATAAACTAATCAATAGATTTATAATTCTAATTGGCTTTATATATATAATTAAATAAATAAATAATTTTAAAAAAACCATCTAGTGAAAGACGTTGAACATTATCTTCAGTATCACGAATGACATCTGTTCTCGAGTCCCACTTGGCATAAACTTCTTGAATCCTTGTTGATAGTACATCCAGCATATTACTTGCTCTGAAATAAAATAAAAAAAAAATAATTAATTAAAAAATTCTTAATTTAAATTCCGGCAAATAACAATAAATAAAAAAAAATTTAATAATAATATTATTTAAACGATTTAAAAATAACTGTCGATGATTATGATTAATGATTATGTAAATGATATTAAATGTTAATCAAGTAATATTTAACAAGTACTTGATAACTCAGTCACAATAGACCACGTTATCAAATTACTTTTGAAACCACAGCCTTCATATTTATAAATTCAATTGATTGGTACTTTTGTTACAATAAAAATATTTATAAAATAAATTTTTAAAAAATTAATAAATACCTATAGTTGAAAAAGTAGTAAAGGACACCACAAAAAATGAATATTTCAATTATTCCAGTCATTATTAAGATCATAAAATTTGTCAAGTTATTAAAAAATTTTTTAAAAAATTATTAATATATTTTAAGAAAAAAAAAAAAAATCTACAGAATCATTTTAATTAAAAAAAATTTTTTTAAATTAAAAAAAAAATATTTGAATTAAAAATATTTAAACAATTATTTTAGGATAATTTGTCAAGAGTATGAAGAGAAAAACACGATACACATCACTGAACTAAATCAATAGTGAAGAAAGACTGTCATGTTTTAATGATACGATTGGCATCAACCAACTAAACACAACTTGAGTATCAAGTATTGTGTATCAATATAATAATCACTTGTACATAAAATAATTATAATTATAACAAAATAAAAATAATCGATGTAGATTATTTATTGATGATATATTTAAAATTTTCCAAACTCATCATCATCATCCACCCCACTTGAATTATAACACAGTTGTTATCAACTTGGACTTTCTACTTGCTGGTACACAATATACGGATTCAACAGTGCAGACATTGGCACTAAGCCCATCGTCTTGGTATTAACTTACGGTCATTGACACATACCGTTACTTTTCACATTATTAAAAATTATTTATTAACTAATTTTTTATTAATTTTTTTGTCCTTGATTTCTTCTCAACAAAAACAATTTTAATTTTTTTAATATTTCTTCTTAAAAAAAAAAAAGGAAAAAAATTTTTATCACTTGTCACTAACTTTAATTAAAATTAATTAATTACTTAAAAATTTAATGAACTATTTTTTACTAATTATTTATTAACTTCTTGTTCTTAATTTTAAACAGTATTAAAATTCTTTAAAAAAAATTTTTTTCATCACTTGTCATTAACTTTAATTAAAATTAATCAATTATTAAAAAGTTTAATAAACTTTTTTTTGCTAATTATTTATTAATTTTTTATTCTTGATTTCTTCTCAATTTTAAACAGAATTAAAATTTTTTAAATATTTCTTTAAAAAAAAAAAAAAAACATTTTTTTAACACTAATCATTAACTTTAAAATTAATTAATTACTTAAAAATTTAATATATTATTTTTTGATAATTTTTTTGTCCTTAATATTCTCAATTTTAAACAGAATTTTTAATTTTTTAAAGATTTCTTCTTTAGAAAAAAAAATAAATAATTTTTATCACTTGTCATTAACTTTAAAATTAATTAATTAATTGAAAATTTAATAAACTATTTTTTGATAATTATTTACTAATTTTTTTGTCCTTGATTTTTTCTCAACAAAAAAATTAAAATTTTTTAAAGATTTCTTCTTAAAAAAAAAAAATAATTTTTTATCACTTGTCATTAATTATAAAATTAATCAATTACATTCACTAAAAAATTTAATTAAAAATTTTTTAATCAATTTAAGATCATTATCTTTAAAATCTTTGTAACGATACTCGCTAAGCGCAGTAATTTAAGTGGACTGACAAGAAAGAGACTTATTCTTGTTTCAGTCTTATTGTAACTGGACTGACGATCCAAATACCCAGTATACCCAGTAGTATACCCAGCGCAGACCAAGAAAAGGCGAAAGTTAAATGCATTGACTCAATTGTCCGACGTTTACCACCACGGGCACGTGGTTAAATGCATATGTGACAGCCAATGAACTCACACACTCAATTTTTGCACGAATAATCTCAATTGACTTACAATGTGTAATATATATACTTATATACCTATGTACATCTATCTCTAACTGCTAATTGGATATTATCTAATAAACTCTACTCTCAATGCGGGATGCTGAGAAAAAAACATGTGTTAACCTCACTTAATTAAATAAATGTTTACTCACTTTATTTAGACAGTTTATCGAGATTTTTTATTTATTTCTTCAGGTATTTTTTAATGCCTCTTCTTAGTACATTCTTTTTTTTAATTATTACCAATGTTTTGGTACAAATGTTTGTAAAATTATGTACTCTGTTTTTTTTTTTAATGTTTGTGATACGATCACTAACATCTTACGGAAAGTATAAGAAGGAAAAGGAGAACTTCCCCCACTTTCATGTCGAGAAATGAGAAGGTATGTTTTAAGTTTCAAGGTTAGGAGTTGTTTGACAGTTTTCCATTGTTCGAATTACGGCTAATTTAACAGACGTTTTATCTTTATCACAATAATTATGATTATGACACAATAAACTTTAGAAGATAAATTTTATATGGAAGAAATAAAAATTGTAAACATTTTTTTTTTATTTTAAAATTATTACAAAAAAGATAAAAATTAAGTTAGCCGACATCTGAAAATTTCTGTAATTTATTTTATTGGAAAATTATTAAAAAAAAAAAATTAAAAGAAAAAATATCACATGTAGAAAATTAAAAAAACTATGTGTGCAATTTTTTAAAAATTATTTTTAGTTTTAATTTAATTAAAAAAAAAATTTATTTGTAATAAATTTTAAAAATTTTTATTACAATTTTTTAAAAATACTTTTTAGTTATAATTTAATTAATTAAGCAAGATTAAAAAATTAAAAATGTCGGCTAACTTTATTATTATTTGTAAGAATTATAAAAAATTAATAATGTACTTTTTTAAAAATAATTTTTTGTAAGTAATTTATAAATTTAAATATAATTAAAAAATTTACAACTGTCAGCTGATTTTAGTGTCATATTACTCAACTAGAGAAATTTTTTTTTGTTCTTATTTTTATTACGTTAAATAAATATTTTTAAATTACAGGCTTGATCTTCTTGAGCTAACAAGAAGTATAACAATAAAAATAATTGTAAAAAGACGCTATTAAATTTTTTTTGATTGTTGAGAATTTTCTAATGCTTCGCATTATAAGTCGTGAAAAATTTTATGATACTAAAACTAGCTGAAAGCTGTCAATTTTTTTTAATAAATCAATTACAATAAAAAAAAAAAATGCTTTAAAAAATTTTCATTAATCATTTTTTTTTTTAATTTTTACATGTGGAATTTATTAATTAAATTTCTTTCATAATAATTTTATTGCTAAAAAATTATGACATGAGTTAGCAGTTGTTTTGAAAAATTATTTTTAAAAAAATTGTATTTTTAATTTTTTTTAATTTCTACATATCAACTTTTTTTTTTCTAATTTTTGTTTACAATAATTTATTTATTAAAAAAATTCTTAAAATTATTCTTAAAATAAATTTTCTTATAAAATTTCAAATGTTAGTGTCTTAAAATTCTCTATAAATTTTTTTTTTTTAAATTGGACCCAACTGTTTATTTTATTTTATTATTACCATGTACTTAAATTCCATTAAAATTTTTCCGACAGACAAAGTTTTATTTCAATAAAGTAAAGATTAATTTAATTATAAATATTTTATAATATAGTATCAATACTTCGATAGTAAACATTAAAAGAAGTCATTGCACACTGATGTGATGAATTTTGAACAGACAATTAAAGAAAGATTGAATAGTTGAAAAATGAATACGAAAATTATCATCAATTATCATTCTAATAAATTTATTAATCTTCATCACTGTCATTTTTTGGTAAATTTAAACCTTTCTGTAGCTCGAATACATGCTCAATTGGTTTTGGCTTGCCATCTTCACCAACCGTACATGGCTTAATAATTCCATCACTAAAAAAAAAAAATAAAATTAATACAAATTAATTATCAATAAAAATAATATTACTTTACAGTAAATAATTTATTATTACCTAGACAACTTGTTAACAAGATTAACAAGTTTCATAGCCTCGTACTCTTTTTGTTCCTCAGTCATTCCTTCCAAAGGACTAGGTTTAGGATTCTCGTAGCATCCAGTCACAGGATTTATATTTTCTTTGTACTTAGTATACTCTTCAGTGTCACTTTCTCCGGACTCTGAAGAGTAATTTGTCTCAGGTTGATTCCCGCCTAAGAGCCCTTTATTTGCAAGCATTCCAGCTGCATTACCAAAACCAGTGTACTTAATCATGCGACCAACTGAAATTATAAATCAAATGATTAATAATAATTGCTAATTTATTAAAAAATAAATAAAATTACTCTGAAGTTGACAAACATCAGAAATTTTTTTATTATTTTTTAACAATAAAAATTATCATGAAAAAATTCCACTTGTAAAAAATTATTAGTAGAAATTTTTAAAAACACTTTTTTTAGTGTAATTAGTTTGTATAAAATAAAAAATAAATTACCATTTTTTTTACACAGAACAAATAAAAATTCAGAGATAGCAACTCGTAATTCCACGATAGGGAATGTCAGCAATTTACACAACTTAGCTCGCAAAGTTGTTCCTTCTTCAGGACGCTTCATCACATCCTTCAAAGGCGGCAAAACTTTAAGTCTAGCATACTTGCGTATGCATCTGTTGCTTCTTGCAAGCTTCAACAAGGCGGACACTGCAGGTAAAGTATTTTTAACAAGATTCTCCCGAGAATTCAAACACGCGTCTAAATATTTAACCAGCTCCCAGATTGCTGACATGTCCAAGTCCTCAAAAACTTCAGAGCTTTTATTCTCGGGACTTATTCGAGGTACTAGAGGATCAAAACTGGTGTACGGTATTACTATCAATAAATCTGCAATACCACTTTGCAATTCTTTGCTGTCAAGCTTTTTTACGTCCTCTGAAGTCAATAATCTGTATAAAATTCCAACTAATCTTTTATTAGTTTCCGATTGCTCTTTTGTGGTTTCCTCAGCGTCTATATATATGTTGTACAGAGCTTTTAGGAGCTCGCAAATTACTTCAACTATTTCCTAAAATTAAATTATTTTATTGATTTTTAATTATTAATAATTAATAATCAATAATTGTTAACAATTAATTAATAATAATTAGTTGTTAATAATTAATTAAATATTTATAATGAATTAATTATTAATAATTTATAATAAAAGAAATTACCTTTGAAGATGATAATCTGTTAGATAAATTATTTAAGCAGTCAATCAATAATTTATCTCCATTATATTCATTTTTACAAATATTTCTTGAGGGAATATTCAACGCGGTAATTAAAAATAAAATTCTCATATCAAATAGCATGATATTATTTGTGACAGTTGGGTCATAATTGCTTATTCGTGTGACTAGATTTTTCAGACAATCTGTTTTCGCTATTTGAATTTGAACACTTGGCGAATTGTATATTAAGTTACAGAGTAATTTGACTGCTTCGAGTGTGGTTTCTGTGTACGGTGGAGGAACTGGAGCAGCTAGATCAGCTTTCAGTAGAATAATGTTTAACCTTTCGTCCGTTATTATTATGTCCAAGTCTTTTTTATCACGACTGTAAATTAAAAAAAATAAATAATATATTATAATTGCAGAAATTAGCAGACATCTGACAATTTTTTTAATACATCAGTAATTATAAAAAAATTTGCACTTGAAATTTTTTCACTAAATTTTTTAGTATAATTTAATTGTTATAAAAAATTATTAAAATTGTTAGATGTCTATTAAATTTAGTATTATTTATTTTACAATTATTACCTCAATATCCTAAGAACTTGTAAACATTTAACATGAATGGCAGAATATTTATCACTCTGTAACCGAGTGAATAAATTACTCCAAATTTTTTCTCTTGAATCATGGTCTAAATCTTCAAATTTTACAGTTTTTGCGTACTAAAAAATTAAATTGTATTTTTTAGACAATCATGATAAAAAAAAAAACATGACACTGAAATTAGCAGACACTTGACAATTTTTTAATTTATCTTGAAAAATAAACGAACTTAAAAAAAATGCATTTATAATTTTTTATAGCTTCTAAGGATGGAATATTCTAAATAAATTTTTCTTATTATAATTTATTTGTTAAAAAAAATTATCAAATGTCTCTTAATTCCAGTATCATTAAAAAAATTATCACACAATAAATATGCTAATATATATAATACCTTTTCACAAAATTTGTCATAATTCTTAGAAATTTCTTCTCCTTCTAAATCAACTGTATTAATTAATTCCATTGTTTACTAATCGCTAATAATGTTTGGACTATTTGACAGAAAAAATATACAGGGCCTCCATAATCGGGGGAGTGTGGCAAATTCCCACTTATAAAAATTATGTTGGCAGCATTTGTTGTTACTAAACTATACCTTAAAAATTCAAATATTTTTAAGGTATAGTTTAGTAACAAATTTTGACAACATCATTTTTATGACCGAGTGGGAATTTGCCATACTCCCAGATGTATTATTATAAGAACAAACGCAAATAACATTACATACCACAACACAAAACACAACAAGTCTCGAGACACGTGCAAAATAGATAAAATTAATTAATTTAATTAAAAAATTACAATTATTATAAACAATTGTTACCTAGTGTTAAGTATAACTTTGATATATATATAAAAATTTTGATTTTTAAGAGACTATAATAGATGACTAACAAATTTAATTTTTCTAGAACGCTAAATATGCAGAGACAAGCCTCTAGGTATTTTATTTTATGATTATAAATTAAAACTCTACTTTTTAATCATTAATTAAAAGAAAAAAATTATTAAAAATGAAATTTGAGTTTCTTTTTAGAGTTTATAAATATTTTCATGACATTTAATTTAGCTTTCACTTGACAATTATTTCATTTTCTTTAACAAAAAAATTTGTTCCAAAAAATTATTTTTAAAAAATTGCATTTTTAATTTTTTTAAATTTCTACATGTCAATTTTTTTTATATTTTTTTTTTTTGCCATAATTTATTTGTTAAAAAAAATTATTAAATATCTGCTAAATTTATTATCATACTTTAATGTCATAAATTTGTTCCAAAAAATTATTTTTAAAATTTTCTACTTGTCAATTTTTTTTGCTATAATTTATTTGTTATAAAAATTCTTAAAGTTATTGAATATCTGCTAAATTAATTTTTATATGCATTTTATTGATAGGACATGTCTATTTATTTGTAAAAAAGCCCTGATAAATCCACGCCGCGTGGATTTATTAGGATTTTTTTACTGACATGTGAATACATTTCTATTGTGATAATGAAAGTAAAAAAAAATCAACGAGTAACAATTTAAAAGAAAGGGATAAATGTAATTAATTATCAGTATTTTTTGTTCAGTAACAACTTTTTTAAAAATAAATAAAGTAAATTAAAAAAAACTTTATAAACATAACTAATTAATTACCATAGAAATATTTACCAATTGCAGGATCAAAAAAGTTCTTCGGATTAAAGAATTGAAACAATAAATACGCTGTTATCCTGGAATATTTTTTAATTTATTATTATTTAGAATAAATGTAATGCGTAGAATGATATAAGCTTGACTCTTTGGCTCTAATAGAATATATAGAATAGTACTGAGCTACTGAGAGTATTTTTTTGGAATAATAATAATAACAATAATTTTAGGCGGGAAGGATTGTAGTTTCCTCTCTCGTCGTTGGTGGTGTCGAAGCGTTTCTGGTACAGTGTAAGGCCGCTGTGGCGTGAGCGAGGCGACAGCACCGCCACAGATGTGCTGCCTCTATATACAGTTAGTGCTCGGTCCTTATATATACAGCCACACTCTTATTTATTGGTCAAAAAAATTATCAAATTTCTGCTAATTAATTTATGACACAAATTGACAGTCATTAGAAATTTTTTAATAATTTTATAACAATGAAATTATTAGTGAAAATTTTATTTAGTGTAATTAATTTGTTATAAAAATTGAAAAAATTGACGGCTAACTTTAATGAAAATTAATTTAGGAGGTATTAATTAATTTTATTAACTTTATTAATTTAAAAATTGACGTAAAAATTTTTAAAAAATAATAATAAAGTTAGCCGACATTTATGATTTTTTTTATTTTGCTTAATTTTATTAAATTATAATTAAAAAATATTTTTAAAAAATTGCACTAATAGTTTTTGAAGTTTTTAACAAATGAAAAAAATTTTTTTTATAATAATTCTTTAATGAAAAAAATCATAAAATTTTTTAGATGTCGGCTAACTTTATTTACATGTAAAAAAATTAAAGAATTATCATGTGACTGGTAACTTTAATTTTATCTAACTTCAAGATCATATTAATTTTGATAAAATTAGTACTAGGTAATGCCAGTAAAATAAATGATACAGATGGCATTTGAAGACTCAGAGGACAATTGGACGGATGCATTGCCGGTATGCAAAGAGTCTGGAGTAGGATTTTCCACTAACCAGATCTACAGGGAAGATGGTTATCGCCAAGAAGATCATCCATTTGAAGACAGGTGCTTTCATTGCAAATACGACGAGTCGACGTTTGTCTACGGAATATTTGACGGGCATGAAAGCTCCAGGGCTGCTAATTTTGCTCTGCAGAGGATGGCCGCTGAGATACTGTTGGGACAACTCAATGGCAAGAGCACTAATGAAGAAGTCAAAGAAGTTCTCAGGTAAATTAAATAATAACTAGATTTAAAAATTAATTAATTAATCAATTATTAATTGTGGTTCTTTTTTAGACAGGCATTTATTTCAGTGGAGCGAGGATACTTTGATTCAATCGGAGATCTACTGGCAGAGCGCACTAGCTTAAAATTTGACATCCCAGAAGAACTTAATTCCTATGAAGCTTATCAGAAGTTTCCGGATCTGGTGAACAAACTGAACAAGTTAAACCGCGAACTGGCTGCTGGAACAAGCGCAATTGTCGCTCTAGTCTTTCGTAATAATTTATACGTGGCTAATGTTGGAGATAGTCGGGCTCTGCTTTGTAAAACTGACAGTAATCAAGTGCTGAGGGTTGTTCAGTTGAGTATTGACCATGATTTAAGGAATGAAGATGAACTTTTGAGGCTGTCGCAACTTAATCTTGATACTAAATCTATCAGACAAGGTATTTTTTTTTAATTAAAAAAAAATTATATTAAAATTGAGAGACAATTGATAATACTGGATTTAGCTAACAATTGTTAATTTTTTCAATTTTTATAAAAAATTGAATTATAACAAAAAAATGTGGAATTTTTTTTAATTAAATTTTTTATTGATATAAAATTATTAAAAAATGGCTAATATAAGTGTTTTAGACAATTTACTATTTTTTTTTTTTTTTTAAGAAATTATGACAAAATTATAAAGCAAAAAAATTTTACATGTTAAAATTATTAATGGTATTTTTAAAAAATCATTTTTTAGAATTAATAAAATTAAAAAATGATAAAGTTCTAATTTTTGTGTCAAAAAAAAAAAAAAAAGTATTTATTTAATTATGAATATTTAATAGTGACTATTTAATTGATACTTAAGTTATCTGACATTTAATGATTTCTAGGATTTTTTTTAATAAATAAATTATTATAAAAAATTCCACATGTACCTAAATGTATCAAAAAAATTGTAATTTTTTTATATTTATTTATTTTTTTACTTAAACGCCAATCAGCTTTTTACAGATTAATAATAGAAAAATTTTTCGAGAAATTTATTTAAATAAAAATTATAATACAAGAGAGACTAATATACATAAGGAAAATTATTTCAGCAATTAAAAATCACAGGATTTTTTTTAATTTAGCTAAGAATGCTTTATAGGAATTATTTAAAAAATTTATATTTATAAATAGTGATTTATTTAAAAAAAAAAAAAATGTCAGATGTTAGTTAATTCAAATTTCATTTTATTTAATATGATTAATTAATTAATTAAAAATAATTTAAAGGTTCTCACCTGGGTAACCAAGAAAACACAAGGTGCCTTGGAAATTATTTAGTCAAAGGGGGATACAAAGAATTTGAAGAGCTAGCAGCGTCAACGTCAGAGCCAATAATAGCAGAGCCAGAAATTCATGGTGGTATTGACCTGGATGACTCGTGTAGATTTCTTCTCTTAATGTCCCGAGGGTTGTACAAGTCTTTGGAAGAAGCTACGGGTACTGACCAGGTCAATAAAGAACTAGCTTTGATGGTAGTCGAGCAGTTCCGAATTCAGTCCACTCTGACAGGAGTTGCTCAGGCAGTTGTGGACAAAGTGGTGAGGATTCACCATGATATGAACATGAGTAACTCGCAAAATTCTTCTAAAAGTGGTAAGCGAGAGGATATTACACTCTTGGTGAGGAATTTTAATTTTCCACTGCCGAATGCTTTAAAAAATCCCAGTGGTCAGTCGGTTCACTTCAACCCGATTGTCCAGACTGCTGTTACAAGTGTCCAAGAAGGTGACTTTTGTACGAGCAATGTTTCAGATTTTAATCCTTCGACTAATGATACCACGTCGACGTCGGAAACTTCTTCGGTAAATACTCGACCGGATAGGAATGCTAAAATTCAACCTTATGTTGATTTTTCAGAATTCTTTGAAAATGTTGAGAGGCGCAGAAAAAATGGGACGCTTCCTAAAGATATTGATTTTGGATAAATTATTTTGTTGGGGTTAAAATGTAAAGTGTACTTAATAGAATTAAATAAATTAAAAATTTTTTTACATAAATTGAAGAATTTTTTCATTTTTAAATTGTATATAAAATTAAGTAAAATCAAAATGTAAATAATTTTTGAAATAAAAGAAAAAACATAAAAGGTAAAAGACCCAGTTATTGACACTTGCAATTTTATTTTAATTAAAAAAAAAAAAAAAAAAAAAAACAAATCAACTGTGATAAATTAATAAATATTAGCGACCTTGAAGTCACTATGTGACTGCCGTAACTTGTGAAATATAAATAAATAAAATTTATTAAATAATGAATTTTATAAAATTGCACTGTACTTTCTTAATTATTGGCATTTTTAAAGATATAAGCTTATCATGATGTTACACTCATCGAGACCTTTCATTTGAGTACCCACATGTATTTTTGATATATTTTTCATATATACATATATATAAATATATAAAATATATGAAAAATTGATGTGGGTACTCAAATGAGAGGTCTTGATGAGTATAACATCAGGATGAGCTTATATCTTTAAAAATGTCAATATTTTACAAGATACAAGGTCATTTCTTGATTATGTGTCTAGAGATAAAGCATTTTCGAATGCAGCTTAAATACTTATCATCATAAATTGACTATTAGTGAGAATGATATGAAACCTTAAAAAGGCATAACTCCAGATAAATTTACGAGATATAAGACTATACTATAAGTATGACTCTACGGTCACGCCTCTACCGGCAGCAAGGCTCAACCAAGCGCTTACCACCACAACAAAATAATAAATTTAATCGAACAAACGATTTGGCAAAAAAAGTTAAAAGCGAATTGATTTCCCCCCGCCAACTTAAGAGAGCCATCAATTATTAAGTCAAATAAAGTTATTTATTATTTTATCAAATTTTTGTTTAATTTCTTCTCAATAATTTTTTTTTTCTTAATAATATAAATAATTTTTTAGTTATAAATTTGAAGATAATTGGTTTTTGCAAGTGTCTTAGACTTCAAATAAATAAAACAAAAATTTTATTTTTTTCAATTAGGAATTACTTTTATTTAAAGTAAATAAACAAATTGATAATTGGCAATACTATTAAATAGTAAATGTCATATTATATATAAAAATGGCATTTTTTAATTTTTCAATATAAAAATTATTTTAAATCATATTTCAAGATTAGAAAATTTTTACAATGAGAATATTATGTTACAAATGGTTCTACAAACTCTCGCATAAACTCGTGATAAAAAAATGCATTATTTTATCATGAAATAATAATAATAATAAAAAAATAAACTCTAAATATGTGTTTAAAAGCACAATCTAAAGCCATAATTTATTTCTTCTTAATCTCCAGATTGTGAATACTCTTTAGTGATATTTCCGACATATAAAGATAACTAACGAGTTCAAGGCTCGGGCATTCCTTTGAGCCGCTCAAAAGCTGCTTTCTCCAAAGCTTCACGATGATTTGGATGAGCAATGTTTATAAGCGCGTGAGCACGTTGCTTCAGAGTCTTACCAAACAGACTCGCGATTCCGTGCTCGGTCACGACGTATCTGACCAAAGCTCTGCTGGTCACCACACCGGCTCCTGATTTCAATACCGGAGTAATTTTGCTGGTTTTTCCATCAGCAGTTGTTGAATTTAATGCAACAATTGGCTGGCCCAAACCGTCCTCACTCATCGCAGCGCCGGTCAGGAAATCTACCTGGCCTCCGAATCCAGAGTACATTCGTGTTCCGATACTGTCTGAACAAATTTGTCCGGTTAAGTCTACTTCAATGCACGAATTGATACAAGTCATTTTTGGTTGCTTGGCTATTATTCTCGGGTCGTTTACGTAATCGACAACCAACATCTCTGTAAAATAAATTATTTATATTATTAATTAATAAAATTTATATAAATATTATTAAAATTTTTTTTTATCAAGTAATATTACAAGTGTTACAAATGATAATTAAATCTGGAGATATTTCATAATATTTTGATTTTTTTTTAACTTATAAATCATTTATAAAAAAATATTTAAAGAAAATTATTTATAAAATGTTATTTTTAAAAAATCATTTATAAAACAATATTTTTAATAATAATATTTTACAATGATGATAAGTATTTAGGCTGTATTCAAAATTTAGGCTCGATCTCTAGATACATAATTAAGAAATGACCTTGTATCTTGTAAACTACTGACATTTTTGAAGATATAAGCTCATCCTGATGTTACACTCATCAAGACCTTTCATTTGAGTACCCACATGTATTTTTGATATATTTTATATATTTATATATATATTACATATATGTATATATGATAAATATATCAAAAATGCATGTGGGTACTCAAATGAAAGCCCTTCATCAGTGGAACATCGTGATGAGCTTATATCTTTAAAAATGTCAGTACCTAAAGAAGTACAGTGCAATTTAATAAAATTAATTATTTCTAAATAATCATCAAATATTTCTAACTTTTAGAATCATAAATTAAAATCAAAATACATACCAATAAATGGATTGTTGTGCATGAAATCATACAATTTTTGTGATCCAACACAAAAAGATCCAACAATTCTTCCGCGATGAATAGACTTTTTGTTATTAGTAATACATCCAATATTAACCAGATCAACAACACCATCGCTAAACATTTCACTATGAATACCAAGGTTCTTATGGTTCTTCAACTGAGCTAATACTGCGTCAGGAATACTTCCAATACCCAATTGAAGAGTCGCTCCATCAGCTACCAAATTCTCAGCAATATGTTTGCCGATCGCTCGTTCTTTGTCAGTTGGTGCCTTAACAGGATGAGCTGGCAGAGGCCCATTGTGCTCAACAGCAAAGTCGATGTGACTTTTGTGAATAATTGCGTCACCAAAAGTCCTAGGCATGTTTTCATTAACCTGAGCTATTAAAATAAATAAATAAATATATAAAATAAGTAAATTTTTTGTTAAAAAAATTTTAAAAATATTCCAGTGACTGCTAATTTAAATGTCATAAATTATTCCTACTCCAAGAAACGTGTAATTTATGATTATTGCTAATTAAACTTCTTACGTGAACTTACCGACGATTTTTTTCGACTTAATAAGAGCTGCGCGAACACAATCAACGCTAGTTCCCAATGAACAATATCCTTTACTGTCTGGAGGTGTCACGTGAATAAGAGCGATGTCAGGTTTCATATAATCTTGATTAAATATCTTCGGTATTTCATGAAGGAAAATTGGAATAGCATCAGCTGTACCTTCATTTACAGCTCCTCGGACATTACCACCGATAAAAAAGCTCACGGATCTAAAGTGTTCTATAAAAATAAATAAATAAATATTTCATACAAAATAAATTTAAAAAAAAAAAAAAACTACTTACTAGCATTTTCAGTCTTTGCAAATGGAGCAGCTCCTTCCAAATGCATGTGACACAATCGTACATTTTTAACATTAGACTTAATTCCAACCTCAGTAAGACCTCTCAATAATTCCACAGGAGTTGCTGCAGCTCCTTGGACAAACACAATTTGATCTAAAACAAAATAAAAAATGAAATTATAATTTTTTCTTCAATAACCATATTAATACTATCTTTACGATTGTTTTATTGAGTTTATTTACAACACTGGGATAATATAATCTCAGAGACCATAAAGGTCAAAGTTTTTAAATGTCAGTATTTGAATTAACCAGATTACTTTTTTTTTTTTTTAAATAAAACACAAAGAGCAATTAAAATAATAAATTAGCCTCATCTTTAAAATTACATAATTACAATTTTGATTATGATTATGACATATTATTACTGATATTGATGTAAACAAATACTCAAGGCTCTTAAAAGTTTTCTTTAGATCTTGCTTTTTTGCATTTTACCATTGACCTAATTACAATATTATTATTATAGAAATGTACAGCCGTCATCTGACGTCAAAGGTTGTAAAAATAGATAAGTAGCGTTTCAACACAATAAATGCAATTAATAAATAATAGATGTTAAAAAAAACTAGTTCAATACCCGACATAATTAATATATTATTAAGTATGTTAAGCCAATGATATAAATAGGAACTTTTGATTGAAAAATTAGGTTGAATTTGTCAATAAATAAATCAATAAATAAATAAATTAATTAATAAATAACTAAATGAATAAAAAAATAAATAAATTAATAAATAACTAACTAAATAAATAAATAAAAAATTGAATAATAAAATTTAATTCAAAAATTAATAGTGAATTGTTGAAATATATTTTTTTATTTTAATTTATTTGTTATAAAAATATAAAATTAAATTTTTTTTACAATAATTCAATTGCTATAAAATTACAAAAAAAATTGATAGTATTAATTTATTAATTTATTTAGTTAGTTATTTTTTAATAAAATTTTTTTATAATAATTCACTTGTTATAAAATTACAAAAAAAAAAAAGTTTATAGTATTAATTTTTAAATTGAATTTTATTATTCAAATTTTCATCAGAATTTTTTTAAAATTATAATGAAAATTTGAATAATAAAATTCAATTTAAAAATTAATACTATAAACTTTTTTTTTTTTGTAATTTTATAACAAGTGAATTATTATAAAAAAATTTTATTAAAAAATAACTAACTAAATAAATAAATAAATAAATCTAACCAGATGCTAAACCAGCTCTTTCAACGGCTTCTTCAGCGGACTTGACCCAGCAAGGTTCCTTGTCAGGAATAGGCATCGCCGGCTCGTTGACATAAGTATAAAAAGTCTTGGAGGCTTGCAATCGATACCCATGTGCACTTGCTAGACCTTTAAACCCTTCAGATAATTTAATAAGTCGATTTAATGCAGCCATTGCAAATTATTGTAATTTTTTATAGTCCCAGACAGAATAATTTTAAGTAACTTGTTGACACCACACCTAGACTGTAATTACATTTAAAAAAAAAAAAATTATTAAACTGTTCACTACCAAATATTATCTTATCAAACAAGATAAATCAATAATCCTTTAAAAGAATGTTCTGGTGTACTTACAAAAATTAATTTGTAATTTTTAATTCTGATTTAGTACAATGTGTGTACTGGTCTTATTGATAGGCGTCCGGACACTGACTGCACGAATACAGAATCTAACTCAATAAATAAAATTCTCTCTTCAATTAATGTATGTGCTTATTCTCTCGCTCGCTCTTTATCGCAACAGCGACCTCCTGCCAAATGAAAACACTCGGCTGAATGTTAAATGTAAATTAGATAGAATTAAATACTCTGATAACTTTGTTTTATTATTGATGAAAATTATGTTTGATGTGTCTAGTCGTCTGCAAAAAATAATTGTTTTTTATTAATTGTAATTAATCTTGAGAGTAAAACTGTATTATATTGTAAGGTATAAAATTTCTTCACAATTCATTTGTTTAAAAAATGTCGGAAAATTTTTGCCTTTCAAAGTCAATATTGAAAATTTTCTAAATTTAGTATGTCAATATTTGAGTTTTTTTTTAATTTTATTAATTTTTTAAATAATTTGTCAAGCTTGAAAATTAATAAATAAAATTGTGATAGGTAGGTTAATCTTTATAAAAAATTAATTATAATAAAAAAAATGCTTTAAAAAATTTCCATAAATAATTTTTTTCATAATAATTTAATTAGTATAAAATTATAAAAAAATTATGAGAAATTAATTATTATAAAAAGAAAAATTTAATTGAAAAATTCCACTTGTAAAAATTAATAAAAATTAAAAATGAAAATTTTTAGAAGCATTTTATTATTACAATTGATTTGTTATAAAAATTTTTTAAATTGACAGCTGACAGCTAACTTCAGTATCATAAAAAATTTCTAGTGTCAGTTAACTTCAGTTTCATTAAAAATTTGCCTATAAATAAATAAATATTTCAATTAGTAAAAAAATTTTCTAACCTGTATTGTCAATTTATTTAATTGTTTTTAAAATAAACTTTTAAATCGTTTGATATAAAAGAAATGATCTTTAAATTTTTCTATTTTTTCACAATTAAACACACGTGACACTTGTAGACATTTGCTCAATTTTTGATAATAGTTTGCGCCCTCTAAAACAAGTGCTTACTTTAAAAAATAAATAATAATAATAATAAATAAATAAATGTTACATACTTATTTAATGAGGATTAATTTAGCAGATATTTAATAATTTTTTTAACAAATAAATTATGGCAAAAAAAAAAAAATTGATATTTAAAAATATTAAAAAATTATAAATGCAATTTTTTAAAAATGATTTTTCAGAAAAAATTTATTGGTTAAATAAAATTAAAAATTCATTAAGTGACTGCTAACTTTAATGTCATAAAAATTAAATTTTTTTATTATAAGTAAATAAAAAAAAAAAATAATAATAATGAAAATTAAGTTAGCCGACACTCAACAATTTTTGATTTTTTTTATTAATTAAAAATTAGAACTCAGAAAATATTTTAAAAAAATTCCATGTATAATTTTTAAAATTTTCTACATGTGAAAATTTTTGTTTTAATTTTTAAAAAATTATTTTTCAACAAAATAAATTATAAAAATTTTTAAATGTCGGCTAATTAAATTTTCATTAATAATAAAATAATATAAAAAATATTTTAATACTTGCAATTAAAATTTCCCGCTAATTTACAAACCACAAAAGTCAAATGACATGTAGAAAACTTCAAGCACGTGACGTCAACGTTATAGTTCCCTCTCTTTAAATCGACTAGCTGTCTCTCTCAAAATTCAGTCCCATGATCACGACGCAACTCGAAAGACTAATTAAAAAAAAACACAAACATTAACAATCTCGCATCTGAGCTGTCAAAAATAATCTTAAATTTATTCCCAGGTAATTCGCACATTTATACTCAAATACTTACACTAATTATTTAAATTTACAAACACATATTAATTTATTCTTGCAACTAATAACTGCCCCTCCAGGCTAGCCAGCGAGGTGGCAGTAGCAGTCACCAGACAGAGCAAGACATTTCTGCGTTCAACGAGTTCTGTTGCACTTGATCCCAGCAATTTATATTTGGATTGTTTAAATAAGTGTAATTGCTGGTTTTTACAATGAATAAAAGCATCGGAAGTCGCCAAGCACACCAGGAACATGTCCTGGCAGTGTCCAGGGATTTTATTTCCCAACCCAGGCTCAGTAAGTACTTTAATTTTATTTATTTTGAGGAAAAAGAGATGAGACCTTCCTCAAGTGGGCGTAGTTGATCGATCTGCTGGCGGGTCAGCTGATTACTAATAATTTTCTCAATGTAGGATAATTATTGACAATTTATTTTTTATTAATTAATGTTTCATATATTTTTAGAGGTAGGTTTATTGTAAGTACGCGCAAAATGTCAAAATTGAGAGTTAATTTAGAGTTAAGTGAGTTTAGCAGTCATGTGACTGTTAATGACGATCTATCATGGTGGTAAAAATATATATTTCAAATATTTATATATATTATTATTCAAGTTTAAGAAATATAGCTTGATTAAAATTACATTTGTGATGTAATATTTATTTTATTTAATATTGGAAGGTAATTATTTTTTTTTTTTTTTTTTTAATAAAATTTTTGGGAAGAAAAATAAAAATTTCAAAATCGGGCGTAGTCTTTTTTTGTATACAATATAATGTTTTTTTTTTTTTAATGAAAATTAATGATACTAAAGTTAGCTGACGTTTTTAATTTTTTGATTTTTTTTTTAATAATTAAATTAGAACAAAAAAATATTTTTAAAAAATTGCACTTACAGTTTTTCAAGTTTTTAACAAATGACAATTTTTTTTTGTAGTCATTTTTTCAATAAAAAAATTCTTTTTAATTTTTAAATGTTGACTAACTTAATTTTTATGAAAATGAATTTAGCAGACATTTGACAATTTTTATGATTTTTTTTATTAAAAAAATTATTTTTAAAAAATCTGAAAAATTTCACATTTAAGAAATTTGAAAAACTAAAAATGCATTTTTTTAAAAATATTTTTTTAGTTTTTATTTAATTAAAGAAAAAAATCAAAAAATTTCTAAGTGTCTGCTGATTTCAGTACCATTTTTTTTAAATATTATTTTATTAGATAGTAAAAATTTTTTTAATTAATTTATTATTATTATTATTAATTAATTGAACTACTTCTCAGCTTACAAGACAGTCTCGGGAGTAAACGGTCCTCTGGTAATCTTAGACGAGGTAAAGTTCCCGAAGTTCGCTGAAATTATTCAGCTGAGACTTGCTGATGGCTCAATCCGTTCGGGAAAAGTCCTTGAGGTGTCTGGCTCCAAAGCTGTGGTCCAGGTATTTGAAGGAACATCTGGAATTGACGCTAAGAACACCGTCTGCGAGTTCACTGGTGACATTCTCAGGACTCCAGTATCAGAGGACATGCTCGGGCGTGTCTTCAACGGATCTGGAAAGCCGATTGACAAGGGACCTCCAATTCTCGCGGAAGACTTTTTGGATATTGAGGGACAGCCGATTAATCCCTGGAGTCGTATTTATCCTGAGGAAATGATACAGACTGGTATTTCTGCTATTGATGTCATGAATTCAATCGCCAGAGGACAAAAGATTCCCATTTTCTCAGCTGCTGGTCTTCCTCACAATGAAGTAATTTATTTAATAGAATTTTTAGTCACTTACATACAAATAAAATTAATAATAATATTTTTTTAACTAATTTATGCAAGCAACCTTGCAGTCACTATGTGACTGCCGAGGCTTGTGAACTATAAATATCAAAATTTTGTCTTATTAAATAATGATTTTTGTTAAATTGCACTGTATTTTTTTAAATATTGGAATTTTTTAAGATATAAGCTAATCTCGATGTTACACTCATCAAGAGCTTTCATTTGAGTACCCACATGGATTTTTTTATATATTTTTCATATATACATATATGTAATATATAATATATATAAAATATATGAAAAAAAGTGATGTGGGTACTCAAATGAAAGGTCTCGATGAGTGTAATATCGTGGTGAGCTTCTATCTTTAAAAATGTCCATCGTGCACAAGATACAATATCATTTCTTAATTATTGATATTTTTAAATATATAAGCTCATCCCGATGTTACACTTATCAAGAGCTTTCATTTGAGTACCCATATGCATTTTTGATATATTTTTCATATATACATATATATAATATATAAAATATATATAAATATATGAAAAATTGATGTGGGTACTCAAATGAAAGGTCTGGATGAGTGCAATGTCAAGATAAACTTATATCTTTAAAAATGTCAATAGTTAAAAAATTACATTGTACTTTGTCAATTTATGATATTTTTAAAGATATAAGCTCATTCCGATGTTACACTCATCAAGAGCTTTCATTTGAGTACCTACATGAATTTTGATATATTTTTTATATATTCATATATACATTTATATAATATATATAAATATATGAAAAAAT